ATCTATCTATCTATCTATCTATCTATCTATCTATCTATCTATCTATCATCTATTTATCATCTATCTATCTGCTTATCCATTTATCTATCTCTATCTATCTACCTATCATCTATCTATCTATCTCTCTATCTATCTACTGATCTTCTATCTGTCTACACAGGCACACACATACAGAAGTGCATCTGTGCCTTTTGAGCTCCATGTGCATATATATATATATATATATATATATATATATATATATATATACTTGTGTGTGATGCATTTCTGAAAGCCCAGGCTCAGAATCTCACATCTATACATATATTTTACCCATTCTCTCTGTTATGTCTCTAAAATTAGTTGTGGTTCTCCTCTCCCCACATTCAGTAAGACAGATGCTTCCCCATGAGATAGCCTAAGGCTTGTGCTACCGCTGTCAATTTTTTTCTTAATTCTGCTGCTAAGATGATGCTAAAGGACACTTAGGATAGGCTGGAGAGATGGCTCACTGGTTAAAAGCAATGGCTGCTCTTCCAGAGGACCTTAGGTTCCTAAATGGCAGCTTACAACTGTCTGTAACTCCAATTTCAAGGGATCTGATACCTTCACACAGACATACATGTGGGCAAAATATCAGTGCACATAAAAGTAAATATATGTTTTTAAAGGACATTTATTCATTATGCATTAATGCTGGGGAGACTCTTGGACTCAGCATGATTTTCCCCCCTCTGTCGTCTGTCTGGGCTTATGCTCTGGACTCTGTCTCCAAGCTGTTTAGGCACAGTGAGTGATTTCAGCACAGGAAGGGGATGTTCTGAGTCCCTTCTGATGTTCTTCTCAAGACAGAAATCACAGGCTGTTGTGATAGCCATTTGTCATTTTCTAAGCTCATTTGAAGCTGGGTCAACTCTTCAACTGCCAAACGAGCATAGTATCTGGGTGCAGAGAGAGTTCTAGTAACTTCTCAGGCATCACACGTTCCCTGCTCTGCTGTCTAATCTAGAAGAGGACATTCAGTACTTGGGGTGGTTCTTAGGAACACCACGTCACAAACAATGTTTTATTTTCATTGTTTTTCCCGTGAGAAAGATGGAAATCATTATATGGTGATAACAAAATCTAATCCATTGTGGATCTAGGCGGCAGGGTGTCTTCAGGTAGAGATTGGGGTGTATGACCAAGAATGTCTCAGTATAGCACAAGAATCTTGGGGTGATCTATTCAGTTAGGATCTAACACTTTGCAGTCTTGATTACTTCTAGAGATGGCTTCTTTTGGTCCTTGTTTGCCAGGTTAGATAGAATCTGTGTATGTATTCATGTGTATACATGAGGTGGATGTGTGTGTACATGTGTATATGCATGCATATGTGTATGTGGAGGCCAGGTGACCAAATTTGGAAGTCATTTCTTATGTCATTTACATTTTTAAAATTTATTCATTTTTATTTTATGTGCATTGGTATTTTGCCTGAATAGATGACTAGTTAGAGTTATAGACAGTTGATCGCTTCCATGTGGGTACTGGGAATTGAACCCAGGTCCTCTGGAAGAGCAGTAAGTGCTCTTAACCACGGAGCCATCTCTCTGGCCTGCCATTTACATTTCTTAATACAATGTCTTGTTAGGGTTTCTATGACTGTGATGAAACACCATGACCAAAAACAACATGGGGAAGAAAGGGTTTATTTGGCCTACACGTCTACATTGTAGTCCATCATTGAAGGAAGATAGGATATGAACTCAGACAAGTCAGGAACCTGGAGGCAGGAGCTAATGCAGAGGCCATGGAGGGGTGCTGCTCATTGCCTTGCTCTCCATGACTTGCTCAATTAGCTCTTACAGAACCCAGGACCACCAGCCAAGAGATGGCACCACCACAATAGGCTAGTGCTGATGGTCCCTCAACAATCACTAATTAGGAAAATGGCCTATAGCCAGTTCTTGTGGAAGCATTTTCTCCATTGATAGTCCCTCCTTTCAGCTTGATTCTAACTTGTATCAAATTGACATAAAACTAACCAGCACATACAGGGTCTCACTATGTAGCTCTGGCTCAACTAGAACATGCTATATAGACCAAGTTGGCCTAGAATTTATGGCAATATTTCTGCCCTTGCCTCTCAAGTGCAGAA